GTACCTTTTGGGTTTTATTTACTCTTTCAGGTTCTTACACTAGGGAGACAATATGATGTCTACACATGTGAGTCTGATTTATTTCACTTATGAATGTGGTCTCTAGTTGCATCCATTTACCTATAAAAGACTTAAGTTTATCTTTCTTTATAACTGAATAATACTCCATTGTAGAAAAATACATTTTTTTGTGCATTCCTCAGTTGTTGGGCATTTGGGTTGTTTCCAAGATTTAGCTATGACAAATTGTGCTGCTGTAAACATGGGTGCACAATTCTTTCGGAAAAAGAAAACGATATTAATTAGCTTGAGAGAGCAATTTGATTTTATTTGCTAATACTTAAAGTTCTTTTCATGTAGACTCATCAAGAGTATTAGTCTGTATTTCTCTGATTTCCTCACAGTTTGGGTAATATGCTTACTTTATACAAGAGGATGGAATATGTCTCTCCACTTTTTCTTGCTCAAGAGTCTATGCAAGACAGGTATTATCTTTTCCTTTAAATGTTACAATGCATGTATTACATGTATAGTTTCCTGACTACAGAATTTGAATATATGTTTGCCCTACTGTTGCTTTTTTCTATCACTTTATTTTCTATGTTATATTCTGTATCCTACATGGAGTACTTTTTCTTGAGGTGGGACACTAGCTGCTTTGGGTTTCATTTAGCTTCAGGAAAGCAATATTTTGCCATATACATGACTGATATGCCTCTATTTAAGACTTGGGAACGGGTCTGTGTGTGTCAGGAGTGGTAAGGTTCCTGTGACACACATAGTTGTAGACTGCAGTCTGTCTTGAAGCAAGACGCACCCTCCCCCCATCCAAATGTCTCCTAAATTAGTCCAGAAATAAATACCTGACTGAAGATTTGTGGACAAAGACTCACAAGTCCCAATTCACCCAACACTTCATCAAATTTATCATTAGAAATTGTTTTCCTTTTCCAGCCAGTTATCTTTAATTTGTTCTCACTGTTTCCCTGGAAGACTATCAGCATATTCTCAGTGGATCTGACTCATTTTGAACTTGCCAGGTGACTGCTTCACTGGACAAAGCTGAAACACTTTGAGGTGTGCCTGTCTGAGGTTTTCAAAGCCTGTACCGTGCAGGAACTCTATTTATCACTCCATGTCTGCAAAGAAAATTCTTGGCTGCTTTTGACTCTTGGTGGCATAGTCTGAGCTTGTCTGAGCAGTGCTGCTGTCCTTTGTGAAAGGGTTTCTCTCTTTCCTGCTGAGCTGAGGCACTCGATAGCTGTGACCACTTACTGTCCTGTGTTCCAGGCTAGTTAGATTTTAGATGTGATAGAACATATGATGAATATTTACATTTAAAAATACCACTATAAGGGGCTGGGGATTTAGCTCAGCGGCAAAAGCGCCTGCTTGGCAAGCGCAAGGTCGTGAGTTCAGTTCCTGGTACCAGAGAAAAACCAAAAAAATAAATAAATAAATAAAAATACCACTGTAAAAGACATATTACCATAGACCCTTCAGAAAAGCCCCCACTCCAAAGGCACTTATCACTCTGTTTTCACTGTTTTGTGAAGTCGTTTTGAAGTTCTCTTTTGTGACTGTCTATAGTTGGTTGCACTGTCCTGGCTGCATCAATATCCTGAATTGAATTAAAATGTTTATCTCTCAGTTAGCACTGTACCAAAACCAGTGAATAAGGTGGATGAGGACACCTCCATGCTTCTGTACAAGGCTGCTTTTCCATTGGATGGCACTGGGCAGCACCACTCATAGTATTTTTGATCACACTTCCTAAAGGCCCTCTCAGAAGAGAACATCTAGAACTGCTCTGGAAAGTGGCACGGATGATGATTCAGTGTTGTTTCAAACACGGGTGTTATGGTTTGTGTCTAGATGTGCCCCCGAAGCCTCATGCAGTCATGGGGTGGGCTTCTAGAGCTTATGATTGATCCATGGTCCAATGCTGGGATAATAGGTGTGAGAGTTACACCAGCCCTGGGGCTGGGGCGGGTAGTTTGCATACAATGTAAGGGAGGGAAAGAGGCTGCTTGCCACCGCCCCTCCCTTTTGCTCTTGTTGCTTTTGCTGTCTTCCACTGCCATGAACTTTTGCCCTCTGCCATGTGCCACTCTGTCTTAGAGCCAGTCACTGACCCTATTCTTACAAAAACAGAAGAGCCAGACGCAGTGGAAATTAGTTTCTGTGGCAGCATAAGAAGATGGATAAAAGTAGTCTAGTTTTTATTTGTAAGAATCTTTGCTATACAGCTACTCCTGTGTGTGTTCATGTGCAATAGTTGCATAGGAAATGCACATTAACACTCACTGCAGAAAATATTATGTTATTGCATGTGTTTCTCCTTAGTAAAAGACAAGAGTCATAAGTATACCTTTTTAGTCAGTCAGTCCATGTGTAATGTGTGAGTAGGGGAGAGGTATGAAGGAGGACAAGGAAAGTAAAAAGGGAGAGAGAGAAGAGGAAAAGAGGAAGATGGAGGAGGGAGAGAGACAGACAGACAAACTGAGTGACTGACTGACTCTGTACTTTGACATCTGAGTACTGTATCCTAATGACATCCACTAGTATGAACCTACTTACAGGAATGTAGAAATGTCCCTTTCAAAAGAGTCATGCTTTGTGTTCACACTCCAAGAAACAATTTATCTTGGGACTATGTATACTTACATCTTGATTCCTTTCAGTATTCAAGTTCATCTTAGAAGAAGTCAGTTATTACCTGGCCCCATGCTGCATGGCTGTGAGAGACATAGACTGATGAATCAGGTGAGGAGGAAGAGTTAAGATCTATCTGTTGCTGTAGCCCTAGATGGACCATTGTGCCCATATAAATCTCCTCTAATGCCATGCAAGTCTAGACTTGGGGTTGCATGTGTGAAGAGAACTTGGTCTATAGAATCATGTGGAACAGAGTCAATTTATGATTTACAATTTATAGTTGCACTGGACAGCCCTGTGCTTGTATCTGGGGAACATGGAAGTCTAGCACTGATTCCTGACCATGATGAGAGCAGTGGTCTCATTAATCTTTTACATTGGTTAAAGTTCAAAATTCCTTTGGTTTCCTTCAGTCTGATTAAATGATCGATGATTTTCATTATCATATTTAGCTAAAAATAATGCTTCTTGTCTATATGATCAAATTTTAAGGAGTTACCCACAAACCAAGGTTCCTTGTGCAAGTCTTGAGGTCCAACCAACACATAAACTATTAATTTGGGGACCTAATGGGATTCTGACCTGGATTCTTGTCTGCACACTCCTTCTATTCCTGTACTGCATCCTGTAGCCAGCACGCCTTGTGGAGTTCAGTGACTTTTCAGTCATCTGATCCTGTGAAATCTTCGTAAAAATAGGTGTCTTTCTGCCCAGCTAATTGAAGTTTCACAGTCTCACACAGCTTCTTGAGATATTCAAATGATAAAATCTTCACCCTAACATCTGATTATAATCTTTTAGGGAGAAATAAGGTGCAGATTATGGAGGTTTGTGTTAAAACCAGTATCAGAAGCTCCAGAGCAGAGTTGGGAAACTTGTGCTGCTAGTACTTTGAGTAGAGTTTCTGATTCCTAGCCAGGTTTGTGAGCCACTAACTCAATCTTGGAGTTCCTCTGTGACCCTCAACTCCAGCAAGACCTTTCATAGCAAGAGCTTCCTGCATTTGCTGGGAAGAAGTCTAGCTTACATGGGTAAAAAGTACAATATAAATGAATTGAAACCAAAGAAAAGGTTGGCTCAAGACTAAATACATATTTGTCTTAAACTTTTACACTGAGTTGCTTGTAAACTTGTAAATGTTTAAAAGTGTTGCCATCAGCTTCCACATGTATAATAGCAAATATCACCCAAACGAATAGGTTGTTATTAAACAGTGGTTTTATCTGCACCACCTTGTAGTGGGAAAGTTTATGTCGGAGGAACAGCGGTGCTTACACATTCAGAACCATTGACTTAGTCATTTTCTTGTTGCCGTGACCCAGTACCTGACACTGGAACTTAAAAGAGGAGAGGTTTCGTCTGACTTACAGTTTCAAAGATGTCAGTCTGTGGTTTACAGGCTCAGACACAGACGCGACCCTGTGGAGGGGGCTGAAAAAAGCTGCTCACATCATGGGACCAGGAAGCAGAGAGCAAAGAGCAGCCAGGAAGTGAGATAGACTCCTCTTGGTCGCACCCCAGGAACCTGATCACCCAGACTCCACCTCCATGTGCGCCACATCTGGCATAGCACCCCTAATCCACTCACTTTCCACAAACCCTATGTCTGAACACACAAGTGATTTAGGGGACATTATAGGTCAAAACCACAACAGGGATGGACCCACCCTAGGTTTGTAATGTCAATAATGGCCCAGAATGGTTCAAGAATTGTTTTCCCCACCATAGTCTCAGGAACCAGTTTCCAGGAACATTAGTGCCACACTGCTAGTGGGCCAGACATTTCCAAAATGACTTACTTTTCAAAAGACTTGTAATTTTGTTTTAAGTTTAAATGGCATCATGATGACAGCCTCTCATGTGTTTATTTTTACTTCCTGTTTCCTGTTAGATAGTAAACAAAGAAGAAGTACAACAGTCTGCTCAAAGTGCCAGTGCAGTGACAATGCCTCATCTTGGTGAAGGTCATGGATTCCGAAGGAGCCCGCAGAGTGCGTGGGTCAAGTCCCACCTTTTGCCTCTATTTGCTGTGGGAACTTGGAGAAGTTCTGTATCCTTTTCGTGTTTTTATTTCATCATCTGTAAAATGGGAACAGTAGTACCTCATGTTGTTATGGGATTAAGTGAGTTAAAAATGTTAAAGTCTTTTACAGTGTTGGTATTTAGTAATTGCATGATTTTGGCTATTACAATTACCTTTATGACTAAGTATTAACTATTGTAATAGCTACTCATGCAGCCTCTTCTACAACCAAACACAATATCTTTTCTCCTGCTCCTCCCTAAACCACTCTTGCCCAGATGAACAAACTCACTGATCTGGGAGCATAGCTGTCTGTGCCATACAAGGCATACTTGAAGTGAGTATCCAGAAAAGCATGAGGCCAAATGGAAAAAAATGAACAAATCCAGCAAAAGGAAAATATTCAGGCCTCATGAACGCTTCTAGTTTCTCCATAGGAAGTGGAAGTGTTTGAAATATCTCCCATGCGGGAATGAGCTGTGGGCATTTATTTATGCCTCCAAGACAGTGTGTAATATCTTTATGTTCAGGTCAAAGAAAGAACTTATTGTTGATTAAGCATTAAAATATGATTTTTAGAATAATGCTTCCGAGTTAGTGCTGAGGAAATAATTTGTGGAGTTTAGGAAGTAAATCTAGATTATAAAAACATGAGTTATAAAATTTGCATTTCAGATTCTCAATGTAAATTTGAAGTTGCAGGAACATTGAAAGGTGAAATAATAATAATGGTAATTCATTATTGTTTTAATACAGGACTTGATAGGAAGAAGAAGACTCAGTCAGAAGCTTTACATTGAGTGTTCTATATAAGAAGCTACTTACAGAGCAGTGAGTAGGATTAAAGGGGGCAGCCCTCAGCCACGGTGACCAGCTCTAGGGTTTTAAGTATGTGCCGCTACTCTTGGCAAGGCCATTTTATTTTATCATTATGATTATGATTTATTAATGGTTTTCCACTAATTTTTTTAGTGGGTACTGGAAATCAAGTTCAGGACCTCTCACTTTATTATTGGTTTTTGAGATAGTGTCTCAGTATGTAGCCCAGGCTGTCCTTGACTATGCAGTGATCCTCTTGCCTCAGCATCCCAAGTGCTGGTTGCTGGAGTTATAGGCATGCAACACCATGCCTGGCTGAGGATCATTTTATTAAATGAGATATACAGCTATGTCACAATGCCTGGCATGTAGTAAGTACTCATTTGAAGGTATTTACTTTTTTCCAACATTTTTATTAGTGTATGTTGGTCATGCAGATTAATGGGTTTAATTTTGTCAGATTTAAACCTACATATTGCATATTTAAATAATTTCCCTATCACTTGCTTGCCCCACCCTCCCTTATTTTCACTTTTTTGGGGGAGAATCAATGCAGATAGTATATTCTATCACACTTTCTTTTATTGGTTAATTAAAATAGCAACTGAAAAGTCAGGTATAAGTTACTACCAAAATGATGGTTAGGAAAATTGTCTTGATGATGATGAATATGTATTTTATTTTTAGTTTATGATAGAAAAGTAAAATTGTATAAGTCAAGAAAAACCCCGGTTATCATCCTTAGATTCCTTTTGCTTTGAATTTATTTCTCTATGCACGTTATTTGTCCCTTGACTCTCTTGCTGGTTAGGGGAAAGGGCATGTGTGTATGGATCTGCAGTATATGCACATTCTCCTTGTATAAAACTTGTGTGTGGTAACGATTTCTCATCAGCTCCCTGACTTTGAGAGTAAGTTCAGGCTTATAATTTTCCAGCTGAGGAAGCCAAGGTGGAAGATTAAGTACCAGTGTCATTGTCCCTCTGCTGATAGAGGTGTTCAGTCCACCGAGCTGTGAGCCAAAGAGTTTTTATACGACAGGAACATTTTGATGTGAATTGTAGTTTTTGATATATGAGTTTCAGCACCAACAACTGCAGTCCTCACTGTTAACCTCTTACTGCAAGTTAAATCAAGTTATTGTTACTGGATGGAAAGACTCCATTACTTTATAAGGCAGAACAAATTTTTCAAGCTTATAAGCTTCATGCAAAAATCACATGCTACAGCCTGGAGTCTGGATGAGACTCTAAATACATCTGTTGTTTTGGTAGTCTACTTTAATGAATCCAATCTAATCAGAATGTTGGACACACAAGTGGATCATAATGCTAATGATCTAATTTGTTAGAGTTCAATTTGTTCACTGAGTGAGTGAGAATAATATTGTACAGTTTTCCCCATAAATATTACTGTTTTACCTCACACACAAGGAACTCTGAATTGACCTTGGCAGTGGAAAGAGAAATTCATTTAGGCTTGATAGAGAAGAGTGCTATTTCCGGGCAAATCCTAAAACTGTTTTGCAGGCTTCAAACACTAGGTGGCAGAGGTGCTCTTGTTAAGATTTTCTGAGTTACTAAGGAGAGCAACTTTTTTTTCTGACAGCAATGATGAACTCTCCTAATTAGTCACCCGTGCACATGAAAGCCATATAGGATGTTCTAATCGAAAGAGAGATGTACTCTGCAATCCACAGGGAACTTGCTTTTACAGTATCGGTAGCTTGACCAGGGGTGCTTTTTATGAGGCTTGCCTATTCATTTCAGTAATGGACTAGAGTCATATAGGGCTTCCTCTCCCTGGTCATCAACAGGATTTGGAGAAAAGCGAAATCTGAAGTGAAGCCCTGACAGAGGATCGTCAGTTTGATACCAAAAAATCTTTGCTTGTGAGTGTTAAGCGTCTAAAGAAAGAATGAAAAAAGGACATTTTCTGCATTTTTCTTTCTCATAATTGAAGAAGGAAAAGCAGTTTACTGCAGAGCAGAGAAACTATTATAACATAAAATAGTCCCTAGTAATAATATAAGGAGCAGAACCTAGTTTAATTGATATTCAGCTCTAATTATGCTCAGTATTATCTGTGCTATAAAAAAAAAAATAAGCTAATTCTGGACATGATCCCAGCCACCGAGTCAGAATCCCTGAAACATTGCTGTGTTTGAAACGTTCTGTGATGATTCTGAAGTACCACCTTTTCCCTTGAATAATGTTGGTGACCCTGGAATCAGAATCACCCCACATGTGTTCACTGCTTTGGAAGCATATAAGGGCCACGTTTCTAAACGTCTTTTCTCTCTCAGCTAAACAGTAGACAAGTAAATCTTATTGATCACTCTTTTGTATGAAGAATTTCTGAACTAAAAACGTGACATGAAATACAAATTTTGAATAAACTCTAATTGTAGATTCAAATAGTTTGGTGGATTTTCAAAAGCAAAAATGCAAAGCACTAAATTCCAGCTCTGGCTTTATCAAGATTGGAAAAGCTTTTGGATCTTGATATCTGCTGAGAAATACTGGGCTGAGTACGGAATATGCCACTGGCATTGCAAGTCACACAGAGCCGAACATGAGAGCAGGGTAGGGTGTAATCAAGAGGGAGAAGGGCTCTTAATCAGAGAACTGAAGGGTCCTCATAGACTTCTTGGAATCCTCAACTCTCTGTCTCAACTCTGCCTTGGACAAGCTGGCCAGGCTCCTTGTTCAGCACAGAAAAGCCGGTCATAGAGATATAACTGTAAGAAAAGGGACAGAAAAGCCAAATCAGATCCTCTCAGTGGTACATATAAACCCTGAGTGATCACGGAGCAAAAGTCAGGTCTTATCCTGAACACCCATTTTTCCTTGTGTACAGTTCTTGTGGCTTTATGAAGCTGTACCTGAGACTCCAAAATACTGAAATTGAAGTTACAGATCAAAAGATACTTTTAATAGCCAAATATGTGTGAATACAGTATGCACTATTATAATTTTCACTTTAAACTGGCTGTTATTTTAATATTATGTAATCATGGCTTAAATTATCACTCAATTCAAGTGGATTGTGTTTAATAACTAATCAATTCAGTGGAAAAAAATCAATTCAATTTATAATTTCTTAACAGGAAGTACCCAAAACTCTGATACACTTAGCTTTTATTTTTAAGTACATGTGTTGGCAAGACAGCCCTAACTAACCTCAACATCTGAAAAATATCCTAAACAAGAAGATTTTGTACTTACTTTTTATTTCTGAAATAGCAAGCCATCTCTCTGATTTTATTGAACTACACTAGATTTTTTCTCTTTTAGTAGTTTAGTAGCTCATCAACTATTATGACTTTAAAGAATGTGAATACTGAATTCAATGGATACAATGAATGTGTATATCAGGAACATATTTTATGGTTTGCTTAGTCACTCTCATAAATACATGCTTCAGAAAAGTCTTTTAGACTTTCCAATGTCTTCAGTGATACTTATCCAGCATATATGATGACTACATTTCAGAACCATAAGACAGAGCACGCAAACTACAGGGAAGGTACTTCACTAACAAAGATACTTATATACTTACAGCAACTTGAACTATCAAGTTTTGCTTATTATTGCTATGCAGAGTACAGAGTTGAAGTAACCAAATCTCCTTTCTCACTGATATCTGATTCTAAACTTTTACCCAACTGTAAAGAAACTATCTGTTTCTCAAACTACAATTTCTCATTACAGGTATTTATGGAAATTGCAATTCTTTTTCAGGGGAAACTATTATAAATATTTCACTAGAAATTAGTCAAACATATATAGTGTTAGGTAAGAGAAACATTTGCTGGCAACCTGTAAATTTATTTGCCACTAGTGTTTAATAATTCCTTCCATCAAAATCAGAGGAAGACCTTGTGTGTTTTATTCTTATTCCATGAAAACATTACAAAAAAGCTTTTTGGAGTGTGTGAAAGTGATGTTATTTTTGAAAAATGGCTTCTAAATTTATCAGGGTGGACAGTTTAAATGTGCAAACACTGAAAGTATAAAATCACCACACAATAGGTAGGCATTGGTAAAAATAAACAGATAATAAATACATCCTTACTTAATTCTCTATTTACTACTAAATTTATGATTAGCTTATTTGCTTATATTAAAGTCAGAAATTTGCTTTATTCAAGGAGAAAATGAATTTCTCTTGTTTTTAATTTTCTTTAAGCAATCAATTATGAATAAACAAGAGTCAGAATTTCATATATGTTAATAATCAACTGGGTAAGAGACTTGCTTTAGGGCTTCACAGTAAAAATCCATTTTTTACTGGTAAGTGCCTTTTAAGAATGCCTGCCTAAACTATCATATGATTTACATAATTATTCACATGATTCTGTGGGTTTTAGTCTACGCAGTATGAATGTCTTTATTTTGTATGCCAACTTATAATTAAAATGTCAAAGAAGTTGTATGAAATCTCTGTGAATATCTAGCTTACATGTGATCAGTTCAGAGTAACCAGGAATAGTTTTCCAAGGTTTGAGACTTGTGATTGGCCAATGGGTACTTGTAAACAATAGAAAATTACTAACATCATTTGACTTGGAAGTGAAAAATTGATTCCATGTAGTAATGAACTCTCACAGTTCTTTTATTCTTAAACATGACATTGTATATTCTTAGAACTAACATATTGAAATTTTATAAGAAAATTAGTTAAAACATTTCATTTCTTTTTACTTACTTTATGTACTTCAGGTAGCAGTTACATATTGATATCTCACTATTGGCTTTTGGATGGATTTTATTTAGCTTATATGCTTCTTTTCCCCAAATTGCTTTGTTTCAAATTATTGATAGTTCTCAATAGTTGAAATTCATGTATTTCTTTAAAATCCATTGTTTTTACTTCTGTGAAATAGTGAAATATTTGACAACATTGATTCTGTGCTTTCACTGCCTCAGATGACTTGTAGTTGTGTAGCAGCTGTCCAATTTAGAGTGCAGGGAAGCGTTCTATTATGCCACATCTTTCTTTCTTTCCTAATTTCACTCTGAGATTAAGGGTTAGCTCCCTTTCATCATGTTAAAATTGTTACTTAGTGGAGTTAAAAGGAAAGTAAAACACATGGTCTTTTTCTTTATTTTTATTTTTTGAGACAGAGTCTTGCTATGCAGTGGAGGGTGTCCTTAGACTCGCCAGGTGGCCCAGACTGACTTCGAACTCACAGCAATGCCCCTGCCTCAGCCTCCCTCAGACTGGGAATTCAGGCCTGCACCATCACTCCTGGCCACAAAACAGTTCCTGTACAAAGTGTGTGACAAAAATGTGAAAAAGGAAATCTGAGTTTTCAGTAACAGAAAATAAGATTTTCCTTTGAAATCTGTTTTTCTTGTTGTTTTTCCATTTCCTCATCCATGTGGTAGAAATGCCCACATTCCAAAGCAGCTTTCTACTGCTATGCTTCCTGTCTTAACCCAGCCTCACCCTGTCACAGGAACTTTTAGGGCACCAGTGCCTCATGGATTGGGCAGGACACAGCTGCATCTCCTAACAAACAGAAATACTGGTGGCAACTTTTTAGCTTCTCCCTACATGCTTAATGAGGGCTTTTGTTGGTTTATTTAATTTTTTTCCTAACAAAGATGGATTTTCACACTGTTGAATAATTTGCACTATAATTTTCTTTTACAAATTGCAGACCTAATATACATTTTCTTCTGCTTTTCTAATGTTTTACGATCTTGTGTTATTCATTGTGTCTCAAGGAAACATACAATGTAATGTGGCTCCTGTGACCGATCACACTTTGTCTTTCAGATCTGCATTCAGGGCATGGAGATGGGCACTGCCACAATCAGGAAGAAAGTCTGCTTCTGTGATTTGTGAGAACTGTGATGCTGTAAAGGGAAGACATTAACTTGCTATATAATAAAATTTGACTAAGGCATCACAAGTTTCCAAAGGGAATATATAATTCCAGAGTAAAATGCTATCTACCAAAGACTGTTTTTATCATGCAATGAGTTTGGTACTAAAACTCAGTGTAGATCTTTACTGTATCTAAATAATCTGCCTATACCACAGAGAAGCTGGACAGTCTCACACAAATGTAGTATACATAATCTCATCTACTTCTTTCCCTCAAAATCTACACAAATCTGAGGTCTTGCTAATGATGAGTCATAAGGAACTAAAAGAAGCAGTTTCAGCAGCTCTCAATCTTATTCATTCTCACCAGTCAAGTGAAATAAGTAAATCTAAAACGCAGAAGGAAACAGAGATGAGCAGGTTTTTAGCCCACTTCTCAGACTTCATGGAACACCAATGGCAAAGGACAAACATACATTTATGAACATAATTTTAATTCCTTTGAAAGCTACATATCCCAGGACAGCTCTCAATTTATTGATATGCATGTGTGTGTGCATTCACTGATATACAGTGTTCAGTTCATGAACAATAATAAAGTACAACCTACTTTTTATGGACAGTTTCACATTTCCAACTGAAATTTACAGAACATTCTCATTAGTTTTTGCAAAACTTGTATCCAGAGCCAAATTATTGTTGCAATTTATAGCTAAATATAGTTCTGGCATCAATGTCGGTTGACATTTTCACTTACATTAGTGAGAAATATGACAGTGAATTGATAATGTATGCCAGGATTTCACTCTTTTTTCAGTGAGTTCAGTAAATTTCCTAAGTCAAAGTGTAATTTTGAAGGCCTTAAAACTCCATTTTCTGGTTTTTATTTATTTGTTTTTGCTGTTCACGATGTACCAGGTATGGAGACAACGAACTGTAACTTTAATATGCAATGTAAGCATCTTTTACAGGAGTAATCTGCAGTGATAAGTCAAGCTGTGTGTTAATAGCATCTGCTGATTTCCCCGTGTAAGTCCTATCTCCGCTGCAGCTGAGAGAACACCACTGCGCAGGAGGTTGGGGGGAAGGGCACAGCAGGACCCTGGCCTACCCTGCTGCCACTGTCCAGCTGCAGTACAAGCCATTCACTTCAGGAGTACAGCTAACAGTAAAACGTAGTCATCTAATTAAAAAAGAGATGGCTATTTGATTATTTAAGTTTTTAATGAAATTGATTGCCAGTTTATATAATTACAAGTTTAATAGTGGCTATTTAT